ATCATAATAATCCCAAAACTGTAAATATCAGAAGCTCGAGTGAATCGTTCACCTTTCAAAACCTCAGGTGCTAAATACGGCAAAACTCCATAAACATGGCCTTCTTGTTTTTCATCAAACGATATTGATAAACCTAAATCGGTAATATAAGCTTTAAATTGGTTTTTTAATAAAATATTACCAGAATGTAAATCTCGATGCATAAATTTCTTTAAATGAATACGTTTTAGGTCATAAACAATATCGCTTAATATTTTTAATTTAATTTTCCACTCCGATTTAAATATATCAACAAGATTTTCACGTAATGATCCAAATTTTGCGTAACTTAACACTAAAATAAAATCTCCGGAATTTTTATCCATTGAAATGCCATGATAATTACCAAATTCATGATATGCCTTCAGCTAAAGAAAGAAAGAAATTACAATTAAATTCATAAACAAAATAAAGTTACGCGCAAAAAAAAATACCTCGTTCAAAAAAAGTTTTGTATTCTTATTTGAATCTTTTATTATCTTAATTGCAACTTCTTCATATCTACCGTATAGTCTTTCATATGATGTTTTATATACTACGGAAAATCCACCTTTACCTACTTCTTCAATATTTCTAAAGTTATCGTATTCTATCCAATGGAAATAGGTGTAATGGGTATCACATTTATGTCTAGTAACAGCTGATTTTAAATACCATTCAAATGCCAAATCTTTATTCATATCTACACCAGACCCTATCTGATAACAGGAACCAACTTGATGCATTCCACAACAATATCCATATTCGGCACTTTTTAAATAATATTCAAAGGCCTTTCGTAGATCTATCTTAACACCAATTCCATATTTATAACAATATCCAACATAATATGTTCCAGTAGCGTACCCCATCTTTGCGGATTTTTGATAATAAATGAAAGCCTTATGTTCATCCTTTTCAACCCCAATTCCTTTTGCATAACAATATCCAACACCAAATGTTCCATTAGAATTACCTATCTCTGCAGATTTTTGATAATAAATGAATGCCTTATGTTCATCCTTTTCAACTCCAATTCCACTTTGATAACAATATCCAACATTATATGTTCCATTAGGGTCCCCCATCTTAGCAGATTTTTGAAAATAAATAAATGCCTTATACGCATCCTTTTCAACTCCATTTCCACTTTGATAACAAAATCCAACGTTACAAGTTCCGATAGCATGCCCCATCTCAGCAGACTTTTGATAATAAATGAATGCCTTAACTTCATCCTTTTCAACTCCAATTCCATTTAGATAACAACATCCAACATTAAATGTTCCATCAGCATCCCCCATCTCTGCAGATCTTTGATAATAAATGAATGCCTTATGTTCATCCTTTTCAACTCCACTTCCATTTAGAT